TAACATAAAACCATCGAATGAAAACCTGTCAATTAAATATATATTATTTTTCACCTGCTGTTCGTGCACTTTGAGGTGTCGCTGCAAAATACCTATTACAAAAGTTCCAAACTGTATTAAAACAATATTCAGACGCATCAGCGAAACCACACTTTTTGCGAGAATGAATTTACAGTACAAAAGTGTAATATTTGGTTTGCGTATGCAGCAGGCAAAAACTCATAATTCCCTTTGTTCATCTGAGTTCAGTTGAAATTGAACTCCCCAAGTGTGTCTGCTGTGATGGCTTTGGGGGAATGCTATAAAACCAATATAACGTCTCAGGATACAGCGAGCCTTCTTTGTCGCGCACGGGCTTATTGCTTTGCACACGGCGCTGGAGTTGTTGACAGCTGAAATCCAAAATGCTGTATTAAAATCCTCCGCTCACGAGGTAAGCGCGCCGAGATGCAAGATGGAAGTTTGAAGATGTTTTTATTTATCGTCAGAAGGGTTTCTCAAAACTGCCGGAAGCGCTTAGGGTTTTGAAAAGTGTCTTTGTCGATTTTGATACAGGAGTTGGTAGAGGGTAGAAAGTCTAGTGTTCTAAATAAAGAAGAAGCCCCTCAAAGGTAAAAAAAATAAATAAATAAATTGCCTCTGGAATGGAGGCCAAGAAACAGGTCAGATCTGTGGAGAGCAGTGTTGGGAAGGTGACTTTTAAAATGTATTCCCCTACAGATTACAGATTACATATCCCAAAATGTAGTTTGTAATGTAATCCATTAAATTACCTAAAGTGAGTAATGTAATCTGAATACTTTGGATTACTTGATTTGCTGTAGAGAAGTAAAGACGAGGAAATCGTAACATAAGATGTTTTATCTGCTAAAAGAAAATAAAAAGCCCAGACTTTCCTTAACCAAATTAAAAATATTATTGATAGAAGACGAGGAGACATGTTGGCGCAGCATGGTTTAGTCCTGTTAAATCCTGTTTTAGTCCTGGTTTAAGTCCTGGTTTAGTTGTGGTTTTAATCGTGGTTTTAGTCCTGGTTTACACCTGATTTAGATCTGTTTAGATCTAGTTTAGACCTGCTTTTAGTCCTGTTTTATTCCTGGTTTAGACCTGGTTTAGACTTGGTTTTAGTCCTGGTTTTAGACCTGGTTTAGATCTAGTTTAGACCTTCTTTTAGTCCTGTTTTAGTCCTGGATAGTCCTGGTTTTAGACCTGGTTTAGACCTGGTTTAGTTTCTGGAAATGAGTGGAATTACCGAGAAAAAAAAAAAAAAAAAAAAAAAGGGAATAGCCCAAAATGTGAAAACAGGAAAATACCACCGTGTAATCCATTTATTTCAACAAAGTAACTATAATCCAATTACCACTCACTGAAACAGTAACTGTAACTGAATACAGTTACTCATCATTTGTACTCTGATTACGTAACTCCAGTACATGTAATCTGTTACTCCCCAACACTGGTGGAGAGGCAACCCTGCTCATTAGATGTATAAATGGCATAGAGTGTAATCTTCAAGGCAAAGCTACAACATCTCCATGGAAACCAGCTTTCCACCAGAAAAGTTACATAGTGCACTTTAATAATAATATACACACTTCTAGATAGACTTATTTCATGATGAACAAATAGTTTATTAAGCATATTCAAGCTTAGTAACTACTTAAAGAGTTAGAGTTAGGGTCTCTGTTAACAATGTTAATGTGGGACAGGGGGAAGTAACTTTTGGTAAAACTAAAGTTGTGATTTATTAACAGAATTAAGAAAACTAACAAAACAATGATTTTTACAAGAATTAACAAAAAGAGGCTTACACAGAGTGGCTAACAGTATAAGGCAAAATGGGCTAACCAAAACAGGGTACACTTGAAACAGAAAACAAAAACCAGTCTAGTCATCTACAGTCTCAACAAAACACACCACGAGAGACACAAGGTGGCAAGCAAGTCCACAACAGAACAGCTCTTGAGTGGCAGGGGGCGGGTCCTTTTATAGGGCCGGAGCTTGTAGGCCGGGATTGGCCAGGTTTTCGGGTTCACCAATCAGCGGGAGGGGCTCAGATGCCATCTTAAATCGATTCCTCCAATCACAGCATCACAGCGGGGGTCTGTATATGGAGGCTTGCACACACACACACACAGGGATCTAAGCAGATATGGCCAGAGGAGGATCTGGAGGCCTGTGGCCGTAACAAACAATAATGTGTCTTTTTGGTGAATTATGGAATGTTTTATAGCCTGATTCATCACCCAGTTTCACTTCTTGGAAACCGTCTGACCTCGCAGCATTAAGATTCGTTCGCTTGAAAGTAGGCAGGTACTTTTTGTGTTTTTTTTTAACCAGTCACTGCTATTTGCTATTTTTAGGCTTTTCCCAAATCCCGTTGGAAGAAGGGCAATAACATCTAACCTTGATGAAATTCACCAAACATTCTCTTTGTTCCAACTTTAAATCCTCGATCTCAGGAATCGTTGCCAACACAGAATGTATGTCTCTTCGCTGATTGGCTGGTGCTCGAACTCGCACTTCCGGGGTTTTTGCGAACCGTCTAGTGTATTCCGATTCCTGACCTAGTCGCTGGAGAGAAATGAAATCGAGCGGAGGCACTAGGTGGCACCAGCCTGGCTAATGTTTTTAAGCAAACATTCTCAAATGTGACTTCTTAATGTTTTTCATTTGTTGACGTGATCTGTTCCACATTTGCTTTTTTCCCACACTTTAAAATGACATTTTGTGGCCATTACTCAATTCAGTTCAGTTACTTTATTGTCATTGTTATATAAAATCACAACGAAATTATGTTAGAGCATCACAACAAACTGCGTAGTACGGTGCCAGTTGTAGGAGCCCCAAGCCGCTGCATCTATGCGTCGCCATCTTGCATTCCCCTCTTGTTCCACTCTGATGTTCAAAGTGTTTCCTCTGGAAGATCCTCTGTCACTTTTGTTGTCACATATGGTGTAAAAAGCCTGTAGCATCTCAAATGTCCATAACTGGTTAGATCGTAGTTGGATACGAGAAAAACAAACAGTTCATTTCACACAATCCAGCAGCCCCTTGTGTTCATTCCCTCAGAGTTTTTCCTCTGAAGATCTTCTGACACATTTGCTGCCACATACGGTGTAAGAAACTTGTTGCATCTCAAATCTTCATTGCTTGCTCCTTCAGGTGCTCCCTAGCGAGCTTCTTGCGTGGCTCCATGGATACGGGAAAAACAACCAGCTCATCTCACAAATCCAACCGTCCCGTACTTGTGTCCTTCGAACTGCACATTCTGCACTTCCTAGTTCAGTGTTTGCCAAACTTTTTTTCTGGGGACCCATATTTTCAAAGTCACAAACCTTTGCGACCCAAGTCAATAGATATTTTTTGTAAATCACAAAATAAAGGTGGATTTGAGCATTATTGAACATTAATGAGGATATTTTATTGTTGACTGAGTGATTAAGTCTCTGAACAATTAGTATTACTCAAGTTTTAAACAATGAAAAACAGCAATTGAAGCAGCAATAAAAGGATCCATAAGTCGTTTATTTGGACATTAAATTTAGAACATTTCTTTTTCTTTTCAACATTCAATTGAACCAATGATACTGGAACAAAATAGTCAATAAAATAATTACAAAGAGATTAGAAATTATAGAAAACATGTCCTAACATTTCAAAATTTCTAATGGGATAGGTGGGCCTGTCTGTGTTTTTGTAACGAGTTCCAGTCCGGGCTGCAGGAGGAGAGCGATACACACAGATTAGTGTCAGAACTGTATATTGCAGACCAACATGCAGATCGTGACGAGGTGACCAAAACAAAATCTCTTGTGACCCACCTGAGGGTTGCGATCCAGTCTTTGGGAAATAATGTCTTGGTTGGTTAAAAGCCCACAATTGGATGTCAAAAACTGAGCCCAAAAAACAAAAAGTTTCCAAAGTAAGACAAAGTGATAACATCTCCATCAAACCATGAGCGTATTTCAGAATTGAGCAGATTTGTGCAGCTGAAGTAACAATGTTGATGCTTTAGTCCTCATGACGCTTCTCCAGATGCTCAAAGTCACAATTTCAGTGATGCTGTTCTAGCCACAGCTGTCCTGGGGCAGAGTGATGGACGTGAGGCTGCCAATCTGCACCTTTGACCCCTCTGACCACTACCGACTCTCACCACTTTCATATTAGGCAATGTGGATGAAGAGCCTTAAAGTTTTGCCACTGGCCAGACCCAAGTGGTCTCTTTAACTCTTTCCCCCATGAAGACGACATTTGACGACGAATGTAGTTTTTTGTTTTTGATTTTGCACTTGACGATGTAAACTCTCATTTTCAGTGAGCTGTTATAAACCTGTAAATGAGTTGAATCACATTTAAACATCCATAAATGAAGAGTTCAGAGTCTAAGGTTTCCAGAGATACTGAATATGTCTGTGATTCAATCAAGTTCATGAGGGTGAAAATCATTTCTAATCACTCGTGGAAGTCTGTTTTCTTTTATGCAGTTATGATCTATGGGGAGCCCTAGTCATATATGTATGGGTTGTTCTTAGTAGGCGTCCAAGGGGGAAAGAGTTAAAGGTGCACTATGCAACTTTTCAGGTAGGAGCTCTGTCACCACATTGTCTCCATGGAGATGTTAATGCTTTGCCTGGAATGTTCCACAGTGTGCCATAAAACACATCTGTCTTATGTTAAAGTAAATTAAGTTTGTGTAAGTAAGTGCGCAAAAATACCTTAAAAATGTGCATTATATTTGTCAGCGTAGTCGCATCTTCAGAGATCACTCGCTCCCTCCACCAGAAAAGTTCCACAGTGCAGCTTTAATGCTTTGGAACAGTTCCCGTTGCAATCCTCTCAATTCTGTCTTGTTGCCAAAATCCACACATTTTCATACAAGTCCTGACGCCGCCGTGTCTCTTGTCTCTCTCTTACCTCCACTCCACCTCCGCTCCTCTGTCCTCTTCTGCCCTCGCTTTGTCCTTTGCCCCTTTTCTCCCTTTTCCCCTTCTGCGTAGGCCAACCAGAAGGGACGGGCATGGGCACCGGCGCCATCGTGGGCATCCTGATCGTGGTCTTCTTCGTGCTGCTGGTGAGCGTGGACGTGACCTGCTACTTCCTGAACAAGTGCGGCGTGCTCATGTGTCTGGCCGTCAACGTCTGCGGCAAGAGCGGCCCCGGCGCCAAAGGGAAGGACATCGAGGAGGGAAAGGCTGCGTTCACGTAAGTCTGCCTTAAGATCTGTTATTAGGGGTCATTTTAAACTCTTAAAAATGTGCTTGAATGAGCTTTGCATTGCCAATTTAATAGACTCTATTCATGCTTACGTCACAAACCAGGAAGACGTTTGGAAACATGTGATTACAACTTTTGGCAGGTTCTGTTCACAGTAGTAAGTCTGACAAAATCTAGGAAAAATGTGAAAATGGCCCAGTTTTCTTCATCTCCATGTCATTGTAGTGTTCTGTTATGTTTGCCTAATCAACAATTACAACCATACCTTATTTTTCCTCATTTCCCCACTGACGCACAACTCCGAGCGCACTGGGTACATGCGATTAGAAAAGACGGGGCACCAAATCACAGTGACTAAATCAGGACGGATCCAGGTCCGAGACCAGACCGAGACCAGAGCGGGACTGAGACCGGAACAGAGCTGCTCTGGTCCTCCGCGCTCAAGAACCGCGGCTGGTTCCGAGGTGGTGCAAAGCATCGGACTGACGCTTTCACACCAATGAAAATGAATCGAACTAAGAGCTTTTGGTTCAAATGGACCAGGTCCGGGACCAGACCGGGACCAAAGCGCTACTGAGACTGGGACCAGACCGGGACCAGAGCGGGCCTGAGACTGAGACCGAGACAAGACCAGGACCAGACCGGGACCAGACCGGAGGCTCAGAGCCCACGGCAGGGCCGGAGCTCGAAGCTGAGGCTCGGACCCCGTGGAGGCTCGGAGTCAACGCTCGGAGTCCGCCCTGGTCCCGCTCTGGTCCCTGTCTGGTCCCGGTCTCAGTCCCGCTCTGGTCTCGGTCTGGTCTCGGACCTGGATCCCTCCTGATTCAGTCCGTATGCGGTGCAAAAGTCCGGCATCGCAGTCACGGAAGTCACGTAAACGGGAAACGGCCGTTATCCGTTTTTTCCATTCTTCATTTAAACACAAAATCGAAAACTGAAAAAACGAATCGTTATCCGTTTTTTCATTTTGGTTTTGGAGACAAATAACGAAGAAAACTGTTGTTTTTTCGTTTTCTTATTTTTGGTTTTATATTGAAAAACGAAATGAACGAATGATACACGGATTTGCCCCTCCCCCTCGTTCCTATTAGCCAAGTATTAATATCTCACCTCCGTTTGACTTGGAATAGGAGTCATATTGGTGATGTTTCCCTGTGTTTGATGAAGGAGTCCAGTCACTGCAGGGAGGTACATAGCCAGGGTATTTCTTTTTGTCCTCCAGCCTGACCCACCTTTTGGCTTTCACAAACATGTCACGGAGATTACACCAGACTTTTCTACTTTTCTGCCTAAAATATCCGCGCTCTCCCTCTTTGAATTTCTTGCCATTTTGCGTCTTTATAGTCACTGAGCGTCGTGTCGTATAGGTGTTTGTATTTTCTCACCGTTTCTGCCAGCTTTTTGTTTTTCCTTGCTCTGCACCAGCAAAGAAGCAGATAAACCACGCTCACATAAATAACCGATCAGAGCGAAGATGTCGGACAAAGTTCTGCTCGACTGAGGTGTTGAGAGCAAACCGCAAAAAACTGCTGAACAGGAGCTGGCCGAACAAAATGATGTAATTTTTTTCAGCCAGTTAACAAAGTTCTTATGTTCTTATGAAGTATGAATAGGCCTTAAGCCATGTGATAATGCTGTAACCTAATTAAAAACATACCCGGAGTTGTGTTTTGTTTTGGCTACACATTTTTGAGTAACACTTTATTATTAGTCTGTCTACATCTTCAAAGCTTACAGTGTTTTAACAGCTACTTTTTACCTTTAGTTTAATAGAGATTGGCAATTCCAGATCTGAAATCATCCAAATTATTCTAGTGAAGGTGCAGCGAGTGTAAAAAGCGTGGAGTTTTTTCCGTTTGAGAGAAGAACACAGCCTAAATATGCAGTGTTTGTGTGAGAATGAAACAAAACACAACTCCAGATCAGTTTTTGATGAGGAAACAACATAAAACTCATCAGAAAATATAGGTCAAGTAATATTGTAATATAGCTCCAGTTATGATTATAGTGTACCATAAATTCTGGACTATAAGCCGTTACTTTTTCTCACACTTTGAACCCTGCGGATAATAAAATGATGCGGCAAATATATGGACGAATTCTTTGTTTGGCACATTGTCCATTCATATTTACGGTCTATGGTTTGGCAACACAGCGGATCTGCAAAGCTTGATGTGAAATATTGGATATATGATGTATGCTGACCTACGGGAGTCTGGCCTAAGTCTTGGGTCAGAAAAACTGCAGCGGGATCCAGAGGTTTGAAGAAGAATGTTTATTGATGATTGGGTATGAATAAGTATATGATTGTGATTGTAATTGTGACTGTAGTTATCTAGAACAGAAAAAGAAAGAAATATATACAACTAATTAGAACTGTACACACCAATAATAACAAATATATACAAAAAGAATACAAGTGAACATATTAATTATACTGTATGAAGAATGAGAGGTATTGATTCGTAAGTGTACGATATTGGGAGTTGCAATGTAAGTCCAACAGGTGGCGCCAGAGACTACCTCATGACGTTATGAATAGCTCGCAGAAAGCGTGTTTAGTGGCAGATCGGGTGGTAAATGAAACTTATAAAGAACAGATTGAGTTGGATATAGCGAAAATATTCAAAACAAGAGATAAAAACTACACGCTAACCTGTATAGAACAAGGTCCATAATGTAATACTCACCTCTCATTCACGCACAAACATGAGCATTAACAGGAGAAAGACGGACACGTGCCTTTCTCCTTAGCGCTCCCTCTGCGTACTGGCTACCTGCGCTGCCAAGGAGAGGCAGTAATGACGTCCTCTTAAAGGGACGGCAGCATTACAGCAGGGAAATTTGCACACTTGAGGACAGAAAAGGTCGCTGTCTGTGCGGTTCACACATGGATCTAGGGTTCACATGAAGCTGCTACACCAGCTCGCGATATTGTCAGCGCACTCAAATAGTTTATCGCCGTGTGATAAAATAAGTTATGATGCTAAATGAACATTAATGATTGGGATACGTCTTACCCGTGTGCGTAAATGACGAGAAGAAACATCTCAAACTTCAATAGCCGAACGTCCACTCAAACCTGATTGACAGAACTATCCTCGCCCCAGAGAGAGTCTGAAATCTGCTGAAATCCTACAAGACACTGACATAAAACAGACAGGACAGAGACTCTTTCTGCAGGAGACATGAGCAGTAGGAGAGACGGGGATGATGCGCCGAGGAAAATGCTCATTTGATTGTGTTTTGAACAGTTATTTTGCGCTTCATACACACGCCCTCCTCATGAAAAACACACAAAGAAATGCACGACGCAGCTTTTAGGTTAAAGGCGATTGATGTGGCTGTCGAAGAAGGAAACAGAGCTGCTGCACGTGAGCTCGGCATCAATGAGTCGATGGTGAGATTTTGGTGACGGCAGCGTGACGAAGTGACTCAATGCAAAAAGCGACAAAAGATTTCAGAGACAAAATAGAACCGGAGCATAAATGTAATGTCATTTACGAAATACCCTGCATGTCCTGCAATAAAACATACATCGGGGAAACAGGGAGGGCGTTCAGTCCACAAAAAAAGGAACACAGAACAGAATGCGAGAAGGAAACAGCGAAGGCGCGCACACGAGCAACAAAACACAAAGCAAAACAGGAACAACTCAAATCGGCCATCTCTGACCACTGTAAAAGAGAGAACCACATTATGGACTGGGATGGAGCAAACATCATTGGGACAGAGGAAAACAAACATCGCCGCTGGATTAAAGAGGCAATCGAAATACGGAAACGTGCCCACGGGACGATAAACCGAGACGAGGGGGCTTTTTTACTCTCACACACCTGGGATTCTGTCTTGAGGAAGTCGGACTACAGATGACCTGTCGTCCTGTCTCCACTGGTAGGAAGACACCGACAAAACCTGTTTAAATCAGCTGATTGGAAATGTCACTGCAACATCACATGACTCTGAGGAAGAGCGCTAGTGAGCAGTCGAAACTGTCAGGTATGAAACTAAACTCTTCTGAAAAAAGAACCTAATAACATAAAATATCAGAAGACCAAATGAATCTCATTGGACTATTTCAGAGGCGATAAAAGCAGACGGCCCCAACTTGAAGACGTTCTTGAAGACGTGGACACTTGCAGCTTTTATTCAGGTGCGCTCAATAGTCCGGAATTTACGGTAGAAGCTTTAAAAAATATATACTTCAAGATCAATCAAATACACAGTTCCTTTACCTTTACTTGCGGTTTGTTGTATTTTGTCGTATTACACGACTCAAGAAAGTGTAACATTAACTTCCAAGCCTGAACGTGGTAGCTCTTGTAGCCCACAGCAGGTATGAACAGACCATTAGAACATGAGTGCAGAGAGCTGATAGTGGTGCTTTTAACCCAGCGAGGAGTCCCTCACACCACAGCTGCTCTTTCTGTGCACAGAAATCGCTCAAGACACACGTATTCAGAGCGGAGAGGAGAAAAATCCAGATGCCACGTGCCGCGGTGTGTGTGGTTAACGTGAAGCAGGCGTAGTCCCAGGAGACGAGAGAGCCGGGGAACATCAGGTGTGGATGTGCTGATGTAAATACAAGTACGAGGTCTTAAAGGTGCCGTTTAGTTATGGTGAAAACTGTAACTAAGGCTGCGTTCAGACTGCAGCCTGAAGTGACCCAAATCTGATTTTTTGGCCTCTATGTGACCTGTATCTGATCTTTTAATGACAGTCTGAACGACACAGATCCGATTTTTTCAAATGCGACCCAGGACACTTGGATATGTGATCCTGAAACCGATACATATCCGATCTTTTGACATGCGACTTCAGTTTGAACGGCCAAAGCGCATTTATGCGACCTGCACATTATCAACAAGCCACAAATGTCACTATTCTGTGCTGAAGTAGGCGAAAATTGTTAATGAACTCCGTGTCACTGAAGTGAAGCACATCACCACTCACCACTCTTGGCTACGTCTCCACATCCACACGTTCCTTTCAACGGACGTCGCTGCTGCTGCCCCACAAAACACCACGACCAAAAACCTCGTCCTTCTCCTTCTCAATCTCCTCCATAAAACAAGTAAGTTGTTCATGTTCTGGCTCCGGTACGAGAGGAACTTTAAAATCTCCAGGTGCTCAATGCTCGCGTCCATGTTTGGACAACTTCCGTAAACACAGAGCACGCTCACTGCGGTTGACGTCATTGTGTCTCCAGTGCTCATGCGGGACACTTTCGGGCCGTTTAATGTTCACACTGGAGATCACATACAAGTCGCATTTAATTGAAAATGTGAACGACCTCGCAAAAACATCGGATTTCACAAAAAAATCGGAATTGAGCATTAAGCCCTGCAGTCTGAACGTAGTCTAAGATGTCATCGTGGTGTTTTAATATACCAGAAAGTTCAGTTTGTTTAAGGGTTAGTCCAATCCTTCTCAAATAGCCTTGTGATGAATGCTTGCTCTGATTGCCAGAGAGTGCACAGGGAGAATTAGTACTATAGTGTCAGGTTTTTTGCAACGAGTAAATGCACACACAGCACAGAGCAGGAGATATGAAGTGCAGAGAACAAACTGTATGTGTGTAAGTGTTTGTAGCGCTTGGCTTCACTGTGACTACGGCAGGAAACGAGGAAAGACCGATATGTTTACTGTGTCTAAAAATGTTGGCAACATGAATCCAAATAAATTACGGCGTCGCTTAAAGACATTACACCCCGATAACACTGATAAGATGCTTGAGTTTTTTCAGTGAAAATGTGCCAAATATTGCCAACACTCCTGCTTTGTGAATGCTACTTGAGTAAACCAGCGAGCTCTGTTGGCGTTATATAAGGCAGTGTACCAAAGAGCAGAGGAGCTGATACTGCTCCAGCTTTAGACTGGATTGTTTCTGTCACGCTGGATGATGCAAGTGCCTCAAACTATAACACAGACATCATCTTTACAGACGAGGAGGACACGGGAGCGGACGCCTCATGACGCAGGTGAACGTAGCGCGGAATATGGACGGACACCTGCTGCGTGTTTCCCGGGAGTCGCTTTGGATACTCGACTAAAACGTTTGCTCTCATATGTAGGCAGTGTTGGGAAGTAACAGATTACACATACCAGCGTTACGTAATCAGAGTACAAATTATGAGTAACTGTATTCGGTTACAGTTACTGTTTCAGTGAGTGGTAATTAGATTACAGTTACTTGGTTGAAATAAATGGATTACACGGCGGTATTTTCCTGTTTTCACATTTTGGGCTATATCCCCTTTTTTTTTCATTAGTTCCACCCATTGCCGGACACTAAATCAGGTCTAAACCAGGTCTAAAACCAGGTCTAAATCCAGGTCTAAAACCAGGTCTAAACTAGGTCTAAACCAGGACTAAAACCAGGTCTAAACCAGGTCTAAACCAGGTCTAAACCAGGTCTAAACTAGGTCTAAACCAGGTCTAAAACCAGGACAAAACCAGGACTAAACCAAGACTAAACCAAGACTAAAGCAGGACTAAACCAGGACTAAACCAGGACTAAACCAAGACTAAAGCAGGACTAAACCAGGTCTAAACCAGGACTAAAACTTAGGTCTGAACTAGATCTAAACCAGGACTAAACCAGGACTAAACTATGTCTCAAACAGGATTGAACAGGACTAAACCATGCTGTGTGGACGTGTCTCCTCTTCTTTTATCAATACTATTTTTAATTTGGTTCAGTAAAGTCTGGACTTTTTATTTTCTTTTATCAGACAAAACATCTTATGTTAAGATTTCCTAGTCTTTACTCCTCTACAGCAAATCAAGTAATCCAAAGTATTCAGATTTCGTTACTCATTTTAAGTAATTTAATGGATTACGTTACAAACTACATTTTGGTGTATGTAATCTGTAATCTGTAGGGGAATACATTTTAAAAGTCACCTTCCCAACACTGGTGACATGTTAGTACTAGTGATGGGTGAACGGAGCCTCGTGAAGCATTGACACCTCAGTCACAATATTGTCTCAAATGGTTCGACGTGTCTGAGGCCTTGGAGAAACACTGACCTCTAGTGGACAAATTTAACCATTGCAAACCAGCACACAACCCATGATTTGGGAACCCGAAACTCTATTTTCTATTTTATTAGTCATAAGTCATAAATAGTATATATTCTAATTTGAACATTTAAAAAAGAAATACAACAATTTATATATGCATGCTGTAAATAAGAAAACAGGTGACCTTGTTAGGTGGAATTAGATCAAAGTGATCCCAAACCATGGATCGCTTTTTTCCACTTGTAGATGCCATCGAAAATGAAACAAATGCCAAAAGTCGCCAAAAGTCACTAAAATCACCACTAACGTTACGCAATACTCCTCACCACTCAACATTTTTAAGAAATATTGGTGCATCTTTTATACTGTAGCAGTTTAGCGCTTGTCAAACCACAGAAGTGCACTGAACACTCTGAACCAATCACAGAGCGGAACCTTCGCTGAGCCAATGAAACGCTTCGATACACTGAAGCGATTGACACACAGAGTGAAGCAGTAGGGGGAGGGACCGACACTTCCACACTTTGGTCACGTGAGCGTTTGCAGCGAGACGAGCTCCGAGGCAGTGCTTTCGGAGCAATTTGTTTCAGAAAGAACGAGACGTGCTCCAGAGCTCCGTCTCATTTGCCCGTCACTAGTTAGTACCGTATAAACCATCTCGCACTCTGAGGAGCTCAAGGACCCGCCTCCTGCTGGCGCCCAGGACTAAACACGGGGAGTCAGCGTTTCAGAAAACCTATCTGAAAATGAAACAGTTAAAAAATGTTCTAATTTCATTTTATCAATTCAATTACTTTGTTTTTAATATGAACTTTAATTTTTGCAAATAATGAACTGAGAAAACTAAGTGTCAATCACTTTTCTTGGATCTAAATCCTAAAGCAATCAAATAGCAAAAACTCAGCGTCCGCTTTTCTATTTTTGACATTTTGCTGATGAAGGCGTCACATTCAACAGTCAAAACGATCGTCCTTTAAGAGCGTTTGAAAAGAGACAAGTCTTCATTTGTGCTGCTCTGGTGGGAGGGGCCACGCACAGAGGCTCTGGAGACGTTGCTATGATAAACACCGCAGAAAATGACCAATATTTTAATAGAAAATATGATTAAAATATTTTAGTAGAAAATCAGCCGAGGGCCAGATTAAAGGTCTTGGAGGGCCGGATCTGGCCCCCGGGCCGTATGTTTGACACCTGTGAACTAGAGTAAAGCAGGTTCATTGAGTTAAAAACAACAGCTGCTCAGCCCTCTATAGACCAGATTCAGTATTTAGATTTTATCCTTGGGCACCTGAATGTGTAAAAGTGATGGAGGTGGTCAATAGGGCTGAGGATCATTAAGAAGTTGCCGATATGATACATACTTCGATACATAGGCCACGATACGATACATATCCTGATTCAGTTCACTTTCGATTCAATTCGATATATTTCAAATCAATTCAATACAGTTCACTAAAAATAAAGGCTAAATCATGGCTGTGATATTAAAAGTGTTTGTTAAACCACTTCTTGTGCAAAATAAATATGAAACACAAACATTTAAATCATCAAAAAACTGAAAATGTCGAATGAGTTTTCTTCCTCTGAACAAGCAACAAAACTGTAGCACTGTAACAAAATAATTGAGCAAAATATACCAAAAAATACTCTTGGTGATATATCGATACAGCAGCCCACGATATGGATACTGTATCATCACATTAAGCGATACGATATATAAATATTTTGATATTTTTGCACACCCGTAGTGGTCAACGTGTGTGTATAAAATAGAGCTTTATATGAGACTAATGTTTTTTTTTTTTTTGTTTTTTTGTAACAGGAAAGATGAGTCGAAGGAGCCCATTGTGGAGGTGAGGACAGAGGAAGAGAACATTCCACACCAGGAGGGAGGAGGCGCCACTGAGCCCAACGAGACCACCCCGCTGACAGAACCAGAGTGAGTCACACATACAAAACAACTATCCCACTGTATTTAATCAAATAGATTCAAACTTGGGTATAAGTTAAACCTCAGTTTTAATATTTAATGTATCCTAGACTATTGTGTATTAACAATTTAACACATGAGACTGATATTAAAACTTAAAGGTCCTATATTAAGCAAAACGTTGACTCTTGTGAGCTTTAAGACATGTTAAAATGCTATTACCTCATCGAAAACATACCTGGAGCTGTGGTTTCTCATCTCCAAAACTCAAAATGCTCCGTTCTACCTTGTGATGTCATGATGCTGTAGTTTTCATGTTAAAAAAAACCCTTCTGTTCAGTAGAGTTTGGCAACTGTAGGTCTGAAATAATCCAAATTATTCCAGTGAAGGTGTATGGAGTTTAGGATTTTTGTGTTAAAAATGTGTAAATGAAACAAAACACAACTCCAGGTTTGTTTTTGATGAGGAAACATTTGAAAATAAATCCAAAAATAGTATTGGCTCTTTAACGCTGTTGGACTTTTATTTTGAAATGTAAAATGTGTAGTAAATGTAAATAAAGACATGACATTTCAGTAGGAACAAGCTATTTTGTCAACTGATACTTTGCAGCTGATATTATTACCATTACTCGACTTAAATCTGAGCTTCGTTTTAACACAATCTGACCATAAATGCCTAATTTATGCAGTTAAATCAAATCAAATCAAATGTATTTGTATAGCACATTTAAAACAGCCAAAGCTTACCAAAGTGCTGAACACTGAAATAAAACATACCATAGGCAAATCAACCAGAATAATAATAATAATAATAATAATAAAATAATAATAACAGCAAGGTGTCAAGGTGTCTCTTCCTAACTCTGGGCAAATGCCAAGGAGAAAAGTCAAGAGTTTTTCAGTTAGACTACGTTCAGACTGCAGGGCTTAATGCTTCAGGGTTTTTTTTTTTGTGAAATTAGATTTTTTTGGGAGGTAGTTCACATTTCCAATTAAATGCGACTTGTATGTGATCTCCAGTGTGAACTTTAAACGCCCCAAAAGTGTCTTGCATGCACAACGGAGGACACGACGACGTCACACACAGCGAGCATACTCAGTGTTTATAGAAGTCGGCTAAACACTGGGCTTGTCTCCCAAAATACGGTCCAGTCTTCATAAGATGGACAGGTTACATGTTCATGGCCACTTTGTTTGTTTGAGTCTTTAGTCTCCTTGTATTTGGCTCTCAGGCTCTTTATTTTTTGTTGACATTGGAGCTAGGACCATCTGTAGCCGCGCTCGGACATTTCTTTGGCAATCATTTCAAAAAACACCCAGGTCTGAAAAGACCCCTCCAATTTGGCCTGAATACAGCGATCCTCCTAGATATTAATTAACTCCCTAACCTTGTTTTCCCTCCATTGACTAGAATCCGAGCCTGACGTGTAGGTGGGATGAATGTGACCTGACCGTTCAGACTGAAGTCACATGTCAAAAGATCCGATATGTATCGGTTTTAGGAGCACATATCCTAGTGGTTTGGGTCACATTTGAAAAAATCAGATCTGTGTCGTTCAGACTGTCATTAAAATAGGGGCAAAAATCTGATTTGAGTCACTTCAGGCTCACTTTTGTCAAAAATCAAACACCTTGAAGGCACAATGAATACTTGTATCGATCACAGGCTCCTGAAAATGTGTGGTTAAAAATTCTGTATTGTGTCGCTAAACATTTTGCCACAGACATACATGCAGTACCCTTCCAGTGTGATGTCGCTGCAAAGTATCAATTGAGCAATAATTCTGATAATTTACTTTTGATTGCAATGCTACGCCACATCTTATGCTCAAATCCTAACCTGCCACTTTTAAGTTCAAGTATTTGTTTGACTTTTGTTGCTAACATTTTTAACTGTGCACCTTTTGTTTTTTGTTTTTTTGGCACTCACTTTGTCTTTTAACTGCACCTGCACCCGCCCCCCTCCCTCCTTTGCTTTACCCTCTCCCCCACCTCCCCTCCCTCCTCACCCCCACCTCCTCCTCACCCCCTCCTCCACGCACAGGCCCGCTACCAATGACTCCGCCCCCGCCGCCACCCTGCTCCCCTCCACCGCCACTAACTCCGTAGCCGAGAGCTATAGCACGGCACAGAGCAGCCCGGTCAGCGAGTGCACCACGTTAACCGCTAGCCCCACCAAGCCCGCCCCGGCCCCCCTGAACAGCCCCCCCGCCTCCGCCCCGCAGCCCGAAGTGGGAGCCCTGGTTGACCTAAGCGAAGCCCAGACCCCCAAAACTCCCCCCGAACCGATCAGCAGCCCTCCTCCCGCAGCTAACGTCCAACCAGTAAACAGCAGTCCTGTAGAGGGCGGGGCCACGGAAGAGCCCGCCCCCCAGAGCACCTCGGGTCAAAATGAGTATGAGCACAAGTCATTTTTAACATACACACCCATCCCATGTCATGTGCTCTGGTAGTACAACAATACAAAGAGTTATTTCAGAGTTTAACGAGGGGTTATGCAAAAATCTGGTTTTATTATTTCCTTCACAGGTTGTGTTCAAAAGTGGGTCAAGAGGCCAGCAGGGGGCAGCAGAGTTCTGCAAGGTTTTCACATTTGTCAATGCTTCCTGAAGTAGGAGTGGATAAAAGGCAAAGATTTGATTTGACACAAAACTAGAGATGAAAAAGAGATTTAAAAAAAAAAAACTAAAAAGCTCTGACATTATTTGAAACAAAAATTAAGATATTACAGATAAAGACTTACTGTATGTTGCCTTAAGGCCGCCACACACTACAGGAGAATTTGTCAGATTTAAGCTGCTCAATTTTATTTCTCTCCAGCGACTAGGTCAGGAATCAGAATACACTAGACAGTTTGCAAAAACCCTGGAAGTGCAAGTTCAGGCACCAGCCAATCAGCGAAGAGTCATATTCAGTGTTATCAACGATTCCCGAGATCGAGGATTTAAAGCCTGAACAAAGCCTTCACCAAAATGTTTGGTGAATTTCATCAAGGCAAGGGGAAAGACATTATCGTCCTTCTTCCTACGGGGTTTGGGAAAAGCTTAATATACCAGTTTTCCCCGTTAGTGCATTACATATGTCACGACCAAATAGCAATGATTGATTAAAGTACCTGCTTACCGTCAAGTGACCGAATCCTAAGGCTGCGAGGTCAGACAATTTGTACAAAGTGAAACAAAGTAAAACCGGCTGAATCAGGCTAATAATGTGCTTTTCCCCGAGTTTGTGTCTTCGTGTGCGATTATGAAGCTGCTGCTTCTCGTGTGTGTGGTGTCAGTGTGACTCTGAGCTGCTCTGTCAGATCATAATCGCCAAACATCAACAATGGCAACGCTATGATAATAGCCAATGAAGCAATGCAATGGGCAGACAGAGTGACGAACACAGAAATGCAAGATACAAACTCAGGAAACAGCAAAAATAATGAGAAGACTTTCTTCCTCACCTCTCGTAAAGTTGTAAATTTAAACTGCAGCATCTCATCCACATTGTCCATAGAATTCGTTCTCCACAAATAATGACACCCAGCCCACAAAACAGCGCTGTGAATCCAGTTTTGAGGTGTTCTTTAAAAGTAAAAAGGCCAGAGTAGTTCCTCATGTTTGTTTACATCCACACAACGCACGGATCAAGGTGAAGCTGCAGATTAGCGATACTGACTCTACTTCCTGTGAACTTTATGCTTTAAAAATCATATATCTGAAGTTTTACACCACATTTCCCAAATAATAATAATACAGTTCTGACTTGTATCTATACTAGACGTGCAATGCTCAGATTTATTTCGAACAGCGAGTGGTTTTACTGTAGACAGGAAACAGCTGACTTGATCGCGCTCACGTCTTTATATCCTGTGGTCCACAGACATATCCCGCTGCAGTTTTTGCGATCGGAGATTTAAAATGTCATAAGATTCTTCTCGTGTCTGTGGTGTGCACTTTTTGTCGCAAATTGTTTAAAAATAGTTAAAGACCAAAAAATCCTGTAGTTTGTGGCGGCCTTTAGGTTATGTCATACATTTGCAAACAGGAAGCAAGGTATTTAATCCACACTTGAAATGTTAATCATGATCTTCTTTAAGCAGTATATTGAAATGCATTAGAGTTAGACCCATATATCCCCTGCGTGCATAATCCCAACATGTTTTGATTTCCTTATTCATTTGAAAATCAAACTCGGTGTACTACCAGAGCATTGTCTAACAGCAGCTCACCCCCACGCTCCTCCACCTCCATATCCACCATCAGCTTCTGTAGCCTCCGACATGTGTGAATGGAGTCATGTCCTGCTTCAACCTTCATCTGTGACATGAACGGAGGGGGACTGAACGCTTTTGTTGTTTTTGTCTCATGAATGATTGAGCAAACCTTAAATCAGACCTGTGAATTTGTGGTCTGGGGGCCACATCCAGCTCTTCGTTTAATGTTTAATCCTGTTTTTGATGCTAAAATGGTTAAAAAATCCTAATACCAGACCATTAAAGGTGCACTTTGTAACTTCTGAGGTGGAGGGTCAGCCACTTCTTTGCTTGTTATGTTCCACAGTGAGACATTAAACATAACTCCCTTGTATTTGTTCATTTGTAGGTGTTTTATGATTGAAAAATAACACCTTAAAAACATGAATTCTTTCTTTTCTTTATAGATCCAACCATTAACCTGTCTCCACTGTGATTACAAAGTTTATTTCCATACTGTATAATCACGGCAAAACAGTATTATCTCTTCATCTTGTTCATCTTCTGTGTAAGTTTTTAGGTGGAGGATCCAAAACCCTCGATTTCTCCGTGGAGATGTTGTCGTTTTGCCTGTAAATGCTTCACAAAACGGCATTAAACTAAACACATCTCAATGGAGAAAGGCAGATGACCAAACCAAGTAATTTTTTGGCTAGAAATACATCGGTAATTGAATAAACGACAGGGATTGGATGAACCCTCCACCAGAAAAGTGACATGGTGCACCTTTAAAGAAGATGCATTGTAATCTATGACACCCTTGGAT